GAAGATACAGAAAAAGATTATTCTGTACCGCATAATATCTGTCTCTTATACACATCTAGATGTGTATAAGAGACAGTCTCAGAACAGCTTAGAATTTCACCAAAAATGCCCAGATTCAAATGCCCAGATTCTATGAGTGTCAAGGAGTTTGACACTCACAGGGCTCCTCCAGTAGCCTCATGCTGAAAATTTATTTATTTTTTTATTTAACTTATTTTATTCATTTTGGAAAAATACAATAGGACACAAAAAAAAAAAAAAAAATATAAGTCAAGGGGAAGCATAAGTATAAAAAGTTTGTCCCCATGGTAAATTCTCAGACACCTACCAGACGGCTTGGTTCACTCCCCATAATGGACCCCACAGTTACCAATACATGTTTGCCTACCCACTACTAAGATCAACATTTATATTCTTATAAACAAAACAAAAAAAAACAAAGCTCTTTAAATTTTTCTGCAATGATTTTCTGAAAAAATAATACTGTAACAGACAACAGTGTGAATAACCATCATAGCAACTAGTCTACTATGCCAAAATTCTATTCCATCAACAGAATATATGCATCATAAAATTTTTTTTGTTGTGATTGGTTATTTAGTGGCGCATTCAAAAGAGAGGTTGATCAGATGATTTTAATCTTCACTATCTCAATTTAGGGAGACCCCAAGTAATTTCCCACCCCTCCCCCTCCTCAGTCGTACACCATTAAAACAGTACTGTTATCTGTTAAAAACCCGTGTTTAAAAAAATTACAAGGAATTACGGATACAAAAACAGTGAAACAAATATTTAACATAAAAATCATGCCTTCATTTTGCATAAGTAAACATACAAAATATAAATATACAAGCATAATATATTACAATCTCAAAATATGTTTAAAAATAATTTCTTATGAGATAATTTGAACTAATTTGTTTAATGGTTGATGATAATCTTTTTTGTAGTACTGTACTGGCTTGTTCCTTCTATGGTTGTGTAAATAATCTGACAAGAAAACACATTAGCATTGCCACAAGTCTCTTATTCTGGACAGCACCACCAAAGAGCTAATTCACAGACAGAATCAAGCAAAATCCGCAAAAAAAAAGAAGAAATTGAGTTCAATTAAATTTGGTATGGCATGCACTAAGTGAAATAAAAAGTATCCCAAATTTAGGGCCTGGAACCCAGGATAGCACTATGCGTACCAGGAATCTATTTATAATCCTGGGTAAATTTGTAACCCACTTTGATCATTCGTCTGCCCTATAGAGGGTGCTGTATATTTTGGAGAGAAAAGTTTTTAAAGAGGTTGCTAATAAGAATTATTATGCCTATATTGCTTAGTACATTTTAAAACTCTGAAGCCCTAAGGCTTTGCCTAGATTTTGGGCACTCTTGAACTCTCAGTCGGCTGTACATTTATGGTAATATCAATATTACTAATAAAGTTATAACAATAATTAATGTATGAAGTCATTCTAAAAGTGTATGTTACAGTACCCCTGAAAACGCTTTCATAGAGGATTTTCGTATTAAGTCAGTCTTAAACAATTGGTATAGTTACTGATATAATAGTACATGTACACTAAGGTAAAACCCAATGGCGATTACAATATTCAGGAGTAAAGGAGTTTTGAGCACAGAGTGACAACAAGAGCTTGAATGTTTGACTTGCAAAGGACAAAAAACCATTTTCTGAATAATATACAAAATACATGCAAAACATCCTAGAACTGCCACTCATCCATGCAATCCAGGCACTGTGGCATTCTTGCCAAGCGATGTGGCAATTATTTCTTGCGTATGATACGTAACCAAGCATCTACTTGGCCAGTTAACAGTATAGTATATAATACTACACAGAATTCCTATAATTGTTCATAATGTGTACAGGGTCCATGGTAAATAGAGCACATTTTAACCCTGACTTCCTGGGTGTTTGCCAATTAGTTTATCCAGGTTTATGACCCATTAAACTGTCAATTATATCCTTAAGTGAGGCATAGCTAGTCCAGTTGCATTACTGCACATACTACTTTCAGTAGCCTTCTCTGCAAAAAAAAAAACCTGCTGTGATTAATGTATGTAGTAAGCTCTTTATAACTATAATTACATACTGTCATGTACACCTAATGTTCAACAGGATACACATAATGAGGTAAAAGACTTTCTTCATAATAGAGGCTCTACAGGACACACATTCCTATCTTGGCAACAGTAGAAATGCACTACGACACCATTAGGATAACGGGCAAACGCACTGTTGCCGATCTTTTTCCGACACACCGGACAGTTCTTATCCTCCTGGATTGTGCACTTTTTGCTTTGGTAGAAAATATGCTGTTCACGAACCTATAAAACAAAAACAATGTATTAAAGAGATAAGGCAAAACATCAAGAAGAATTAACCTTATAAATATATATTCAAACTGCAAATTTCTCATTTAGAAGAATCACCTAAGACATAAACTTTCAATAAGTAACAGTTTAAAAAATGTTTTTAATGATTTACGAAACATTTAAATATATACATAAATTTACAGGCAGAAATTTATACATATCAGTAAAATATAAGAGTACAGGGCTGTGACCTGAGGTGGCTGCTGAATGGAGCTGTGATGTGGGGCTGCCAATTGTTGCATGGAACTTTGTGGGGCTGCCACATGCTGTGTGGGCTGGGAGTTGGCCTGCCAAATTCAACAAACTTGATTCACATACCTGGAGGTTTTCAGAGAAGCGAAGGTTGCGAAGAACTTGTAAGCTGCGCTTCTGTATAGCTTTAGCCTCCATTACATTCTCTAAGAAGTTGGCTATATCAGTAACTTGTATACTAGCTGGAAGAATCTCTAGAGCCTTTATTTTGAAAGTACAAAAAATATTTAGAACATAGTAAAAAATTATGTATACACATGAAATAATCATGTTTAGTATTGAGTGTAAAAATATGTAAAAGTTTACAGTGAATTAATCATAATTTGATTCTGACTAATGTTTAAGTCTAATCATTAGTGTTAAGTATCTCTTTTACTTTAAGTAATACAACTTGGAATTGGTTGGCACAACAGATCTGTCTTGGAGTTTTAGGTAAGTGGTTTAAAAGCGTGAAGTGGAGTTGAACAACTTATGACCCAGTATTCAACCTTTTTAATCTGGTGGCCAGTTAAAATCTTTTGAGACCAGCGGCAGGTCGACATATATTGCATGTTTTTCAATGTCAGCCCCACCCATCCTATTTTGTAGCAGTGGATTTTAAATAGAAAAGGAGTTTCACAGATGTGGGGAAAATACTACCTCAGCCCCAAAAATGATATTCTCAGGCTTAAATTTGAATATAATTTTCTTTTCTTCTCCATTTTATTTTATAATTTTGAAAAAAAAAAAGTTTGCACTCCAGGTTCTACTACCCCTACCCCTAGCACAAAAAAATCATGTACTAAAAAGTTAAAAAAATGCCAGCGCTAGAAATTCCCCAACGAGGAGTGTGACACCCTCAAAAAGGGCCCGCATTTACCTCAGCCCCACCATGATTGGCAAATGGTTAGACATCGCATCATATCAGAGCCCCCTTCCCTAATTAATCTATTATCCCCATCAGTCCCCCTCCCTATGTCAATACTCTACGCCACTAGATACAGTGAGTCAGAAAAAGCCAGACTCTTGTTAACAATGCTAGATCGAGATAATGTTTCTACTTAACAGAAAAACTTTTTTCAAAAAATCTGCCGGAAAATCGATTTTTAGTAATGTTGCGAGGGCCGGATCAAAATTTTTGGCGGGCCGGAGTTGGCTCGCGGGCCAGGGGTTGAATACCGGGGGTACAGGCATATGCCGGGAAGGTAAATAGACTCGTGCGGTAGGAGCGAGTGTTGGACCTCCCACAGCATTGCACAGTCTGGCCCAAACGCCAAGAAAAGCGAGATGGCCAACATAGCCTGTGAGACGAGAGCCCCAGTTTTGACTAGACTTTTAACTTACCTTGGCTGTGTCTATTTGTTGATGATACATCTCCAGTACAGCTAATGCAGCCTCAATGTTAGGCTGTGGAGAGGCTACATTTTCCATAACACCTAGGCTACTGGCTTCAGGGGGTGAGATGTACATACGCAGCAGACTTAGATATACCTGCAAATGAAAATAATGTAACTCATTATATATACATATTTATAAAACAAAATTATTCAAAATGTTGTTTAAAGAAAGAAAATAATGAATGGACTGTCATAAAGTTTAGTTGAGTGGAATGGGTATAACATAGAAGTGATTAAATTGTGGGGATGAAAAACATCAGAGACAAGGTCAAGGTCACAGAAATACCCCTCAAACACTAACAAAAAATAAAGACAGTTTAAACATCCTACATATTGTTCTGTATTCTGGCACAGGGTGGAAGTATGCACTCTATGGAGTGGTACTGGTATGGGCATTTTTACACCATTTTCACGAAATTTGAAATGAAAATTTCAGACAACCTGGCAACTACCACTGGGGGACTTTCAGAGGCCTAGCATTTCGCTCTATGTATTTAAAATCATGGATTAAATCAACGATAAAACTAAATTATACTAACAAGCACAACAATTTTAAAAAATATAAAAAAGACGAAATGTTTATAATAAAAACAAGTCTATGTCTTAAAAAGCTATTTCAATGTTTATATATACAGTAATTAGCAAGAACGTATCTGTTGTCTACTGCTGCTATGGCAAAGGTCTAGTGGCGCTCTCCACTGCTCGGTGCACTACTTGTAATTAGCCAGCTGCTCAGGCTAGGCCGCTGGAAGTCTCCCAGTGAGTTTTGAGACGTTGATGGCGCTGTTTCAAAATAAATCTGATAAAATAGTCTATAATGTGCCTCTTCCTTGGGGTTATAAAAAGTGCAGTTCTTTTCCCTGGTCACTGGGTCCATATGCTTTAAGTGTTGCTGCTGGTAGTCAGTGCAGGAGCAGGCATCCCCACCAGGTACCCATTTATACTCCTGGGTGGACAGAAGCAATGTAAACAAAGTGTCTTGCTCAAGGACACAAGCGAAATGCACCGCGAAGATTGAAACCCTGACCTCGAGGTCAGGAAACCAAACCATTCCCGCTACGTTAAACTGCCTCCGTTGAGTGACTGCTCTATTTATTTTATATTTTAGTAACTATGTTTAACTTACATCTTTACTTCCTTCGTTGTCTTTATGATAATTAATGCTGCAGTATTCCTTGGCCATTTCCGTGTCTTTCAGTACGTGAGCATATATTGCTAGAGCTTGTTCGTGACGACCTAATCGCCCTAGCAACAGGGCTCTTTCTTCAAAGAATCCTGCAAGATACATCAGTAAAATTAAATAATAATTTAAAATTATATTTTCAACACTTTGCACTTTGCAAAAAGTGTATGTATCTGTCAGGTCTAAATTAATAACTAAAATTAAACTAAATATTCAGAACTAAAATTAAATCCAATACAACAAATAACCTGGTTGTCATAATGAGACAAAAGCTTGCTGAAGTTGCAGACGCAACATTAAGGTATTTCTTTCGGTTTATCTCCAAGAATTATTTATACTGTTTATCAAGCCATTTTAATTTTTTAACAAAAGAGCCTGGCATTAGAAAATACAACCAACAAATTTAATAAATTCTATAACCTAAAAAAAATGTATAAATAACATACTGAAAAACCTCGAATTGAAGCCCTGGCTTCTTTTTTTTTTGCAAACTTTGGATGGGCTTCATTTTGAGTTGGGCTTCTTTTCAAGACCACTTTTGCAAAGTAAAGAGGGGGGCTTCTTTTCAAACAATAACTAGGGTTACTGTAACTTATTACTCTGTATTATAGAGTGTATTAACCGGCATTTTCAATATATTTTTTTTCTTGAAATTCATGTACAGTGTATGTACTGTATTATCTTGAAAACAAGCCTATGCTATCTTGAATAGAAGCCCATGAGATGCGCTTCTTTTCGAGGCTAATTTTGCAAACTGAAGAGGGGGCTTCAATTTGAGATGGACTTCTTCTCGAGATTAAGCCCATTGGGCTTTAATTCAAGGTTTTACGGTATTGACTTACCATCAAATGGAAAGTGGGTGAGGAGCTGTTCCGGGATGTAATAGCTTGACGTCTCCAAGAAGAAGAGAAGTTTGCTGCGAACATCGCCCAATTCTCCCGGCTCTTTACCGGCTCTTGCTGGAGCTTGACCTGGACATATAGAGTAGAAGGAAAGCAATAAATCAAAATACAATTTAAATATGTACTGCAATGTATATAAAGACTTTTTGATTTTATTAAGGTAAGGTGATTCATAAGATAATACATATGATGGCCCATATGATACACAGGATAACAACATAAGGTAATACTGGGGGTAAGAAATTGTGAGACATACAGTAGGATGGTAAACAGTGTAATACCTAGGCAAACGAATACATAGGATGGTATTACATACCTAAAATTGTACAACAGGTAATACATAGGGAGATATCAAATAGGTGACACAAAGTATGATGCCCAGGCTTTTACACAGTGATGTGCAAAGTATATTCATAGTGTGAAACATAATTTGATGCATAGAATGACACAAAGTAATATTATAGGGTGATACATAAAGTTACACTTATGTTGATACATGAAGTTAAGGTGATACATGGGTACTATATATATATAAACAGTAATAGATAGTGTGATACATAGAGTGATGCTTACGGTGATATAAGGTGATGCATACCGTAAATGCTTGAATAAGCGCCACTCTCAAATAAAGGGCTGCACCATACATGACTTTTTGTTAAGCGCCGCGTCGCTTAATCGAGAGACATATAACTCTGTGTGTAATGAAACACTTTGAGAAACATGGTTTTAAATACAATGTATTCAGTGTTAAAATAAATAACACAATAAAGACATAAGCATTTTGTTATAAACGTTTATTTAGGCCTACCGATATGGGAATACGTGAAATAGGTAGCATGGAAAGCGCCACGCCAATATTATTTTCATTAGCGCCGCTCTCAAATAAGTGCTGCATTGAAGCTTCCAAAAATTTTATAAGCACCGCGGCGCTTATTTGAGCATTTACGGTAAGGTACAAAACTAAGCAATAATTTCTTGCTTACAAACCTTCTGGCAAGGAAGGTAAGTATTCTTTCATCATTTCCTCAACCTTTTCTCTGTAAAAATGGATGAGTTTATTATGGAAAGTCGGGGTGGTATCCATACATTCAAGAAGGATGTGTTCTAAATAAGGTGTTGCTAATTCCCTATCAATCTCTTCCAGATATGCCAGCACTCTGTCTCTTGGAAGCCCTTCCACTTCTGGAGTGTCCTCAGTGAATACCTGTTAAAGGAATTAACATTTTTTATTTATTTTTTATTTATTAATTCTGAAATTAAAAATTAACATTCCCAGGGTAAAAGACAGAGAAGTACAAAAAGCAACTTATTTCAACTGTGGTCCCTAAAGAAAACCCTAACAGAAGAGTAATGAAATAAGGAAACGGTAAACAATATAACTAATTATAATAATATAAATAAAATGTATATAAAAGTATGCATTTTGAACACTATAAAGTAATTTATTCCATTAATCGTAAGCTGTATCAACACATGAGAATCTGCTGCCTGCAAGATTTTAGTCTATATATTGACTTTCTAGATTAATAGTGATTTTATGAATTTTGTACAAAAAAGGCAATCAACTTGTAAATTTCATGTACTGTACAAATATCTGGAGGATAAATTGATGAGCATCCAAAAAAAGCATTGTAGAATATATATATTTGATTATTATATAATTTGTCGATTGACTGATAAACTGATTGACTGACAATATTGATGTATTGATATGACTGACTATATAAAGTATGAAACAATTGCTTGGTCGATGTTTGCCTCAAAGTGCTATGCAAATGGGCTCCGATCGTCCTCTCAAAACTTTCTTTGTGTCACCAAATACAGTACCTACTGTACAGTCAATGTTCTTTCACTTATACTTCTGCCTTTCTTTGAACCAGCTTCCAAATGATATAACTTATTCTAACTCTCTTTACAACCTCACAGCTTAAGACCTATTTGTTTTCTGATGGCTAATCACACGCGTTGCACCTTTGATCTTTTTTGGAATTGACGCCACATAAATTTTTTTGTTATTTTTAATAGTACCTTATTATTTATTCCACCTCTACAATGCATTTTTATTATTTTTTTATTCTGAAAATAAAAAACAATGGAAAGTAAACAAATTACAAAAGGAAGCCTGATGGTAACTTGTTTTCAATATGGTCATAAGCATCACATTAGATCATGAAGCATCGCAACTTGAGCCTACATTTATGAAGGGTGATCTCCAGCAAACCTCATCACTTGGAAACCCTTTAACAATCTATACACCTGTCCACCGATTGTGATTGAACAGCCAAGAGTGGAAATCGCTTCGACAATCAGCATCACTGAACAGTGTCGGCGATAGCGTGTGTTGGGTTTTTATGAAAACAAGGCTTTTATTCAATCATTTACAGTACTTGCCTTCAGTCCGTCTTCCGGATGAGTCTTAAGAACCCACTTGGCATATTCAAATATAACATCAATATGATTCTGACCCAAAGACTGCAAGTATATCACTGTCCTCTCATGACCTTTTAAAGGGCTGTTCGGTTTTTGCGATTGCCGTAGCAACAGATCTAAGGCTGTGAATAAAGGAAAATGATTGTCATAAAAATATTATCTTTTGCCTTCTAGTAACACTTACTTAAGGCATATTTATCTGTAGTAATTATTATCACATATGTACAGAGATTTAATGTAATTAACATTTAGTTTTCATAAATGTGTCATTTAATCTATTGTGATACTTTATTGAGTTTCAATTAGTCAATAAATAAGTCTTCAGTTTTGATTAAGGGTTGTTCCATTTGAAAACTATTAATTTACTTAAATTTACAAAGTAAGCATATAAAATAACTGAATTTTAGAAAGGTCATTAGAACACATCATTTTTTTCTACTTACCCTTTTTGTGCAATTCTCTCTTTTCATATAATATGATAAGTTCACTATACTTTTGATGTTTTTTTAATATCCGTTCTGTTTCTTCCAGATGACAATTGTTGTCCTTTAACCTTAATAATGGTGCAACTAAAGCATCATTTGTCTTTTTGGAGAAAAAAAAAGGATTGTTAAATTTCTATGTAATAACTACAAATAAATTTTGGTATATAATGGTGGTAAGGAGAGAACTCTTTATACCTTGTTTCGCAAACCTACTTTTTTTTAGAGATTGTCAGCACAGGGCAGGAAAAAATAAAAATAAAATTTTGTTTTCTGATTTAGCAAATTGTTTTGCCAAAAACATCCAGACGGAGGAGAAAATAAAAATGAAATTATATTGATGAATGTTTAAAACAATGTAGTAATTGGATGGTTAAATGCTTTAAATTCATTTTTTCGCGGCGGCAGGGTACGCTAATTGGCCAAAAATATTGTTCGCTATTAATAAGTTATAAAAAGTCTCACCTAAAGAAAAAAGTTGTTCACTAATATTGATATATTAAGCCGCAAATTTATTCACGTGAAGCGACAGCATTTGACCGAATGCACATGCAGATTAAGTTTCATGCGCAAGACCTTCATTACATTGTTTGCAGTTGGTGGTTCACTTTGACAAATTTTGGATTTCAAACTATTTCTACTTTTTGCAGAATGAAAAAATACGCTTGAATTGGGCCAATTTTGGGGGTGGCCTTAAACCCGGGGTATCTCATTTCAAATGGCAATTTTCACGCACTGTATGCCTAATTCAAAAGCAATATTTGATTTTATTTCTGAGAAAATTTGTAGAAGTCATACCTTTTGCTCGAGAAAAGACTAGTATCATACAGTTGGGCTGAGGAGGGCTTATACCTGAGGAACTACACAATATATAACATATTGATAACAATAATGATAAAGAAGTAATAATAATATATCCACATATAGAAATACTAACAATCAAATAGCACTTAAGCAAGGTAGTGTCGACAATCTGACTCATCTGTTTCCTTGGTATGACTCTAGTAGTTCCATCAACAATTGTTGTTGTTTGCATGGGCTCATGAGGGCGCCCTTTCATCAGATCTTGTCTCTTTTGTGTAAGGTACTCAATAAGGGCTGTGAGACCTTTATCAAGGTCCTGTCCGAGTAATGTAGGTGGTGTGGATGGGTATTCAAGCTATATATATATATATAAACAATATAATTACTAGTGAATAAAAGAACAAATAAACAATACAAATAAATCCAATATTTTGTGAAAACGAATCATCAATAATATAACACACTCACAATAAATAATCAATAATGTAACTCAATCAATCAGTTAAATAAATCAATCAATTAAATAATCAATTAAATAAATCAGTCAGTCAATAATAAGTATAAATCAGCATTACCTGTTCCTAATTTTGAGAAAATCTTCATCGATTCGTCAAACCGATTTTGAGAGAAAAGATCAAAAGCATAAAGATGCTGAATCTTTTGAATTCTCCGCGCTTTGTCTGCTTCATCCTCATCAGTCATGTTCTGCAGAAGAAAAATAGAAAAAAAGCTTATTAAAACCTAATGCTGTTGTGCGACCGTTGCACAACTAATCCAACTCTGTTCCCTGTAAGCGTTAGATGACGCAACGCCGTCTGATGATTACCGGTGGCAGACTGGGCTATCACCATAAAAAACGATTTGTTGCATGAGCATTGTCGCGCTGCGTTCTGCATAGAATCGCGTCAGCTGGCGACCGTCGGCCACAATGAGTACCCAGCTTACGCAACAGAGAGTGCCATAGCAGGATTGATTCAGTGAGCCCAGGAATAGAAGAAGGTTGGGTGTTCGACGTTTCTTTCAGGGAGCGCTTTCCCCCTGTACAGGATGAATAAAAACATGATTTGTTGGGATAAACAACATTAGACATATTATTTACAATTTGTCAGACTCTATAATCAACTAAAATATCCTTTCTAATTCCTATATTACTATAGTTTCCCCTGGAGAGGTATTGCTGGTCTGCTTTTCAACTTCATGGTTGGGAATTCGAGTCTTACGCTGTCCACTTCCAAATACCTCAGCTTGCATTTTGGATGGGCTGTGAAAAAAATGGTTCATGCTATGTTCCAGCCTTAAAGGCAGGTTGGCTACAGCCCCTGGTTTTTTTTTAGGCATACAAGATCAGGTCCATCCCTTGCAGGGCCTTGCTATAGGGTTAAACCATTTTCCTGCATCCTCTAATAAAAAGATAAAAACCTGACCCTCTTCCCGTTTGGTGACACTACTCCTCTGCCGGACAAATCATGGCATTTTAGAGATTTTGATTTGAGTGAAGACGCGACGCTAGAACGGAATCACTCATATGTGACCGTCTTACCAAGCATCCTACTTTCTCTGCATACATAGATTTGGCCACATTGCGTCCTAGAATCCATGCGACGAGAACTTAACGCTTTCGCAAGCGCAGATGACTTGTATTAACGTCATTATGTTCTACGTGCTACCATAGTTGTGCAATCGAAAGCTCCCTATAATCAATGGTACCCACTTGCATATAATAGGGAATGACCACATGGCATAAAAGAGATGGTTACAAAGGAAGGAGAAGAAAAAGGTATACACAAAATATTTGTGACTTACAGCTAAGTGAAGAGCAAGTTCAAACTGTTTGTCTTTGAGCAAGTCCTTAATCTGTTTTGTGAATGGAAATGGTGCTAATCTCCAGATGAAGTCCTGTGATGCCACATAGATGTAATTATTGCTATATATATAAATTAACAAACGGTGTTATTGTCAATAACAAACACATCACTGTCTTTTTATAAACGGCAATAAAAAGAAATATAGACATATACACAGATATTACCCCTCTTCTTCTGTGAATAGTCCCCCATCAAAGTTATTTTTTATCTAAAGGCTCATTTTGGAGACAGGACCAGTGGCTTAATGTCTCATCGAAATAAACTGTGTAGACTGTAATTAATGTACTTACCTGCCAACTGTTATGTGCCGCGGTTTGTTAAGATCAATGTTTTGCACTAAAAGTTTTGGATCGATTGTTCGAATTTCAACATGTTTCGGTAAAACTGCTATTAAGTATGGCTGATCATATGCTGATGGAAAAAGTACACACAGATCGTCAAGAAAATCAAAATATTTTCTATAAAAAAATTCCAGTCCATTTCATCTTTCATGCTGAATATGATATTGATTACTATGAATTTATTTTTTCCCAGTATTTAACATATTGACAAATATTTACTTATATTTATTAATTGTAAAGGCCCAGGGCCACGGATATAATATGCCAAACAGCAAACTTACTTTACTTTTCTAAGTAGCATATCCGTTCATAAGCATAAACACAAGATGCTCTACATAAATTAAGACTCATGAGTCTTAGAGAGTGGTGTGTAGTTTTGGTCGTGAGAAAAAAAATCATGTTACCGTGACAGGAATTGAACCCAGGACCCTGGGATTGGAAGGCAAGCACCTTAATCACCAAGCCACATCACAGGCGATACTATATTTTTGGGTGTTCTTTCACCATTGTCATCTGAAACTTTGTAGCCCAACGATCTCCATAATTTGGTTCCACTGCTACTCAGAAAGAAGCAATGGAATTGAACCAGGAATCCAACATTGGCAGAGCAAGTGGGAGCAAAGGCAGCACAGGACCTCCATCAGGGAAACCCGGACCCCACCAGGAAAGAAGCCAATCGCTTCGTCAGTTTGGGCATCAAGAGATGTGTATTCCTAAAATTTACTTCAACCATGAGGAGTGCCGAGTTTGGTGGACTCTTAGCGATCTGAGACCTTTCATCAGGGAACTGAACCCCTTACTGGAAAATTTGAACACCTCATCAGGGAATATCTGGGACCACCACTGGAACTTAAAGATGCTCTTTGACCCAGTGGGAGGACAGTAATTTATTACTCAGCTGAAACAGAAGAGCAGCAATGAAATTGAACAAGGAGCCAACTGATCTCTGTGGTTCTTTCTAATTCTGATCCAGTGGAGGATTCAAAGGGAGAAGGGGGTGTGGGGGGGGGGGCAGCAGGCACGGCCATTTTTGGCCATATAAAAGTGCCATAATCATAAATTTTCTTACCCTAACCATTGTGAGTGTGAGGAGGTCTAGACTCTTCATCTGTTACAGTCCTTCCCTGGGCCACCCTCTAATTAAATTCCTGAATCTGCCCTGCTGCACTCCAGCTGAAAAGTGAAGAGCATTTGAGACAGAAGTAGTAGGAATTAAACCCAAGACTGAAGACCTCCATGATACGATGCAACACAATAACAGTCACCAGTTCATCCAACTACGGTAATCTATGTTTTTCTCACTAGCCAAGCTGCAATGCAACATAGACCGCTAACATGAACACAGCTAAACAGTCAGTCCACTAGCAGCAATTGAAACTTACCTAGAATTAGAGGCACCTCTGCCCACGTGAGGGCGTACTTCTTAGCAGGTTGTCCTTTGCAGTCAATTAATATACTCATGTTATCCCGGCCTAGAGCTAACTGGTTGTTGACAAGTCTTGTTACTGTTGGTTCAACCTGAGATGTGTTACCAGTGGTAAAGAGATCTTTCATTTCGCCTGTTTCTGTCTACAGAAAGAAGGAATAAACACACAATGTAAATAGAGATACAGTACAACCACTATTATGGGACACTTATGTGACCAAAAAGTCTTCTAAATAGGGATTAGCCATAATGGTACAAAAAAAACCTTCCTTCATTTTGGGGCCAAAAAATAAATAATTGTCCTCTAATAATAGGTGTTCCCTAAATAGAGGTTTCTCTTTACTAAAGATGTAGCCTTAATAGGGCTACTACTGAATACCTATTCTTATTCCAAATGACCTTAAGAATTCTCTCATTCTTGATTCTTCCCCCATATTCATTTCTAGACTCAAATCACACCTGTATACACAATATCCCTAATCTGAATAATAATGGTTATATTAATGATAATAATCGTAATAATTAGAATAGTAGTAGTGGTGGTAGTTATAATAATGATGATGGTCGTGATGATAATTTTTAATTTATCACCATTATTATTGTTATGATTATAATTATTAATAGTTTTAATGATGGTTATGGTAATGATAATGAATTTAATGATAATAATTATAATAATTTATTTTTTTTGCCTTGTTGCTCATCTTTTCCATTTTACTGATTTTATTTTTCTGTACTTTTTTGCATCATGTATATCCTTGTGTTTTATAGTAAATTTTTATGATATATAATAGTTTGTAATTACTGGATGGGAGTGGTTCTCTGACATACAGTATGTTATAGTAATTACGTTTACTTAGACACCTGGCCCTCCCATCCAGATGTCTGGATTGCCAATAAAGAATAAGAATAAGAATAAGAATTATGTTACAGTAAAGTTCTGTATTTATTTGTTTGAAAAACTATCGAAAAAAAACCCCACAAAACAACAGAAACCATAATATATCCTACTACAGTACTACTGGAATGAATGTAGATACAGTGCATTGCATACAGATACAAGAAAATGCATGGAAGAGTTCACTCCCAAAAACAATGTTTAGGGCAGCAGTTCTCAATCGTTTTGGCCAACTACCCAAGCAAACGTCCTGGCAATTCAACACAACCCACCCACCAGGAAATACTTAAAATGGGTCACTAACTGGTAAACAAAATTTAAGTAAAATCTATAAATAACACTAGATTCAGAAGAGTCTCATGAGACCTAATTAATTTGCAACCCATAGTTGGTTTAGGCAAAGCAAAAAAGAGAGGATGGAAGCTACTTACATTAATTAAAAAATAATCTCTTTTAAGTCCAATAACAAGGGATTCTTTGCACCAAGACATGGCTTTGGGAACATCAGGAATTCCAAGTTCAGACTGAGGGATAAATACATAAAACATTTTAATATAGCAATATATTACAGGTCTCCCTCCAATTAAAGACCACTTTCCTGTTGTCCCAAACAAAATGTCTTTCATCTTTATTAATTGGTCTTTAACTGGAAGGAGACCTTTCTTTTTTTCTTTTTAGAACCAGAATTTATATAGCGTCTTTCACAATCCGCAGATTATACAAAGCTATTATACAAGGCGATGACCCCATTATTTCCCTGGTCACTGGATACTGAGTTGGCAGTATTCAAATAAGATATATAATTATATGATACATCACTTATTTATTTAATTCACAATACTTATAGAGGGTAGCTCTAACAGTTTTGGCCTGATAACTCTATTAACTTGCATTCAAGTCCTTTAGCGGAAACACGATTTGAACCTGGGACCCAAAGATCTGAGGTTAAGCTAACAGTGGCTACCACAATTTTAGCTAGATGAGGCAAGAATTTTATTAAACCTTGTTCAAAGCTCTTTCCACACAATCAGATTTTATGTAACAAATTTGTGTTATGTGTCCATATATGGGCATGATGATATTACACCCAAATATGGTCATATCACATATATTTATCAGGTAAAGTTAGATAGTACGGGGAAAAAAAATGATTTTTTTTTTTTTCATTAGAAAAGTGGTTTTTCTTTAAAATATTAAGAATGAGAAGGCAAAACATTTATTTACGAATTCAAAACTATGTCCAAGGTAAAAAACAAAGGGAATTCTTATGTCTTCACTTGATATATTATTGAATGTTCGTGAAGAATCCAATGTTACAATTAAAACTTTAAGAGGACTGATAAATGATTTATAATTATATAAAAATAAAATACAGATTATTTATTAAATTTCCTGTTGTGGCTTCTATTTTTTATTTAAATGTTTATTTAGTGGTGGATGTGCTAACAGACTAAAGAAAAATTGTGTTTTTACGCCAAATCTCAAACACTGGCAGACAGACAAATTCACAAAATCAGATATAAAAAAGTCTCGTCTAAGCTTTACACGTACCCTTAGTTCATTAAAGTTACGGTTCATCCAATAATACAGTTGAAGTTTCCTCTTTACAGCAACACAGAGTCTGAGACTGTATTCTACATCGCCTGTACTAGAAGTTTCTTTCTGGAGAAGTAATGAATAAAAGATATATCAATAATAGTGAGTCAATTTCCAACAACACACAGTAAACTGACAACTTGACTTTAAAAAGTGAAAATTTTACAGAGACTGTGGGTAACGTTTGAATGGTACTTGGATTTTTTGAGTCAGTTAGTTTTACTGCAGGAAATGGTAAATCTAACCAAGTGGTGAAAACCAACTATGGCGGTGCCAATCTGTGACATAATCTATGGTTCTGACATAATCTATTGAGTAACACTCAAATGACTTGGGAAGTTAAACCAAGGCACGTGTTCGCATTGAACTTTTTGGCTTGGTACAACTAACCTTGTCAGTTTTATTGGGCACAATCCAATCAGTTAAATTAACCGCTCTTCTCAGTAAGTTTTCATGCGAGATAAGTTTCCTGGGCAATTCGCACTGGACTAGTTATAGTAAAACGAACCACCATCTCACTTAGTTTTACCGGAACAAGTCCAGTGCGATTGTGGCTGCAGACTAACCTTTAGATCTACGGAAAACAAAGTTGCTCCTCGTGTCTTGCTGACTATGCATATTGGCATAAAGCCCGACAAATCATGCACACTGATCACAGAATCTGAACAAACAGCAATGAGAATAATAAAATACATAGTGTAGAGGGTGCAATATACAACATCCACAGTAAGTATATATTTTACATTTTATGGGTTCAATTCCTGTGACTGCAGGACTTTTTCTCAAGACTAAGAACAACTTCACTCCCTAAGCCTCATAAAGAGATTTACGCTGATAAAAGCATCACATTATTTTACTTATTTAAACAGGGCCCCGACCTACTAGATTGGCTGGAAGGGGCACTCTCTATATATGGTTAAACACAAGAACAAAAAAAAAAAAATTAAACGAACATACAGACATCGTAAATTTGATTAAAACCAGGTAAAATAACAAATTGAATTTAACTGCTTGTCTACAAAATATTTATAACACATAAGAAAAAAGTAAACAAAGGAAGCTAAGAAAAGCATAGGAACACACTTTGAAATGCTTGGTGAGACTTTTATACCTAGTTTAGCGAACTTATTTATTTTAAGATAGTCAGAGGAGGTGGGAAAAAAATTTAAACAAAATATTGTTTTCTTATTTAGCAAACGGTTTTGCTAAAAGTATCTAGGCAAAGGGGAAAATAAAAATAAAATGTTATTGGTGCATGTAAACAGTGTAATGATAGGATTAATAATTGCTTAAATTTATAATTAAAGTAGAAATATACATATCTTCTTATCTCAAGGCACCAATGGCCATAATAACCATTAAAAAAACATACTTCCTGAAATTTTCATATTTTGTACCAGTGGGTGAGCTTATTTGCAAGAAGTACAATTTAATTTAAAATCATCATTATTGGGTGGGGGGGGGGGAAATTTTGCTAAACAAGATATATAAAGCTTTGCATTATGACAGACAAAAGTGTAGTTCTATAGCCTGAGCATAAGCCAAGTATATATAAAACTTCACAGACTACCTTTTTACATATATTTTACAGGGTGAGGAGATGTGAGGTGCAGGGTTGCAGCAGGTGGTAGTCATTTAAAGGGTACAGTACCTTATATGGTCATAACAGTACCTTATATGGTGTGGCTGATAACATTTTTTAAGTGGATTTTAAGAAGGAGCAAGGGGTTAATAAAGGTGGGTTAAAGGCCATGAAATTAGCTTTAGATTGGGTAGGAAAATTCAAAGCTGGGTGGCCTCACCCACCATAACTACATCCTTCAAAGTGAGTGTCTTTTGTGTTTTACTCGGTTATTTTACAATTCATATTTTACATACTTTTGGAATATTGATTTTTAGATTTATATCAACATCTTTCTTTCTAAAAGAGGCAATCATTGCTATATTTGTTGTTTTAAAAAAGCCACTCACCAAGCCAAGCATCATTGTTGTATTTTTAATTTTAATATTCCGGTATTCATCCAACTGCCAAATATGCTTCATGTCCATATGGAAGCATTGACAATTTGCATCTAAAAACCATAATGAGTCTGTACTATATTTACAGAACAACAAAAAACCTACCTGGCATTCTACGTTCTCCACATACGTATATTTTACTGAAGTCATTACGTTCTACGTCCTACCGTTGTCGTCCAATCAAAAGCTCCCTAATATCCAAGTATCCAAGGGGGAGGTGATTAGTAGAAAGGTTAATTACCAGGCTACAACACTGAAGTTGAGGATTCAATTCTCCCCAGAATCGCCGTTTATTAATGCAATAGTACGTCACAAAACAGGTACGGCAAAAGGAATCATTCTTCTTTACAGCATTTATTCATTAATTACTATTAAATCAATTACCATAATTTATAATAAGCTTACCTGATAGGCTGACAAGAATCTGTTGTTCTGGCACACATGCTAATTGTTGGATGGGTTTTTTGGAGAAACACTTGTTAGATCTTAAAAGATTAACTTTTGGATCTTGGCCACCTAAAAAAAAAAAAACAGACCAATAAAAGTATAATTTTAATGTAACACTAATTAATTTTGAATTAGTCATGTATTAATACATTTTTAAGCCTGTATTCCTGCTCTTGGGATCATGATAAAAATGTAATCATCCTGGATTGTACATCTCATGATTGGTTGTCATGTGGCTAATGTACCTGCACACACCAGATGGCTGTAAACAATGCACTCTACAGCCCTGCTTCTCAAACTATGGGTCGCGACTCCAATTTGGGTCGCCAAAACATTTCTGAGGGTTGCAAGACTGCTTCTAACATTAAAAAAAAAAGAGAGAGATTTTGGTAAAATGCATTTCAAAACATAGTGGAAAATACTTCTCAAGGGATACACCCGGGCGTAGCACAGACACCAATCTCTCCAGTGATTGATAAGATTATTAAAATTACATGACATACCCATTAATAAATAAAAGTTACATTGTGTTTAAAATGATGACTTGCTTTCGTTCTTTTTTAGCTTGTTTCAGCCTTTTTGCGAGGGGGTGGGGACGTACAACCTTAATTTTTTAATTATTATTTACCCAGTCAGCTTTAGCCAATTTGACTGTGCATAAATAAAAAAATTGTCATTGTATTATACTTTTACATTTAAAATACGAAACAACTTATCACAGTCACTGTGTATTTGACTTAGCTGAATAGAAGTTAATTGTAGAAATACAACAGCATATCTACATTTGATAATCTATGCCTTGGGTCGCCAAAGAATATAGAGTCTGGAAGTGGGTCGCCACCTAAAAATGTTGAGAAGCAGGGCTCTACAGTACTCATGACTAGGATGGAATCACACCATACTCTGCACCACCCATTTATTACTCAGTGTCATACAAAGCAGCCTGGTGTAATTTATTGCCGCAACAGTTCTATGTGACTTAATCGCAGATGAGACAGGTCATCATAAGACTGTTTCAGTGACACTCTTACTGTATGCCAGGGATTTAACCTCAGACCTCAAAGCTGATAAGCAGAACTGTGATAGCTGTACCAAAGTACTCCTGCTGTTGGTAAAATGGTCAGCAAAGGCTAAAATCTATGGTTAAACATTAGTTTGATTGCCAATCCCTAATAGGCCTATTGTTGTCTAAAGGCATATTTTCTGGCCACACTAAGCCATGAAAACTTTCCATGTGAACCCTAAATGGGATTTCTATTCGGGGATCCTGACTGAGGATCTAGTTGGCCCCTTGCTTTCGGACCCCTTTGTCGGACATGCCAGACCCCTGTCGGGGTCAGCAAATTTCTAGAGCCACTATTGCTGGTTGATAGGACTTGAGCAATTGAAACTTTTCAGCCTCTGTTGTAACTTATACAGTACTAATAAGCACTCTGGCAATCTACAGCAGGCATATATTATCTTCTCACATACTTGCATTTGCTCCAGTAACAGTATATACAAGAAGATGTCCTGGTTTGGTTCCCACGAGCAATTGGTCACCTGGAAAGGAAATAAAGACATACATATTGTTTCATAAAGTTTTATAATTGCGCGAATGATACTTTAAAAATTAGCTCAAATTTGTGCGGAAGATCGCTAGAAAAACAGGTGCGTGGAATCATAACTACTGCATTATACATTGGTTATATATTAAGATTAGGTCAAAGCCTACTTTTCAGCAAAATCTGCCTAGCCTAGGCCTCCTGAGTCCTAGGCCTAGTTTAGGCCAGGCCAGTTGCAAAATGTCTCCCCAACAAGACCGTAAAATATTACCATCATATAATAACCTGGAATAGCAGTAACATGCCACCCACCCCCCTGCCTAAGCTAAGCGTACGGCCTACGAACCTAGTAGGCTAGTCCTCTTGGTAGGGCTTGCCCGGCCTAAGCCTAGCCTAGACTCGGTTAGTAAATATAGGCCTAGGCTAGGCTAGCCGAGTGTGCAGGCTTTTGCTTGTTGGCCCATCCGCACCAATTGAACACTTACCGTGTGAAGCAATCGACTCGATCTGTAGAGGCAGCTTTTCAAGTATAGGCTGAGCTTCATATGCATCATGCATTTTCCAATGTTTCTTCAAAACATCTCTTAGAAGAAAAATATGAAAACACCCTGCAAGAGGAGGGAATCGAAGAAAACGCACACTGTTTAGTTTTCTTTTTACCAACTAGGCCTAGCCTAGCCTTACGAACTCTCTCGATCTCATGAGAATTAATCAGTTACCTCTGACCTGAAACTTTGAGCACACGCCCCCTTTTTTTGAAGTTAAGCGACACTTTCTCCTTGTTTACGAATACCGCTCCTTTCTCATACTGTGGAGATTTAATAATTTCTTTTCACTTCTTTCTGTCTGGCCACTGCTGATGCTTCACCCCACATTCTCTTTTCCTCTTCTTTCTCTTCTTTTATTTCATTCCTCGTTTACATAAGCGGTGGCTGTTTTTCCAGCTTTAAATACGATGCGAATGTTCCAGCAACAACCAATATGTTTTTGCTGCATTGTTGGCTGGTGCTTTAGGGTAGGCCTAGGCCTCAGCGGCGGATTTAGGAGGTTCCCCTCCCCCTTTGGCAACCCCCTTTGGCAACTGGAAAGTAAAAAAAAATAATAATAATAATAAAAAAGAATAATTGATCGCCCAAAACACCACATGAAGTTATTTTTGGGCGTCTAGAAAACAAAAATTTCAAGGGGGCGTACCCCCGGACATCATAGGGTAGTGTTATCTCGATCGGCCCCTTTCTTTTGTATCATCGGCACACCTTTTTAGTGTAAAGATGTGTATAGCTGCTAAGGACCATGGAAGCCCCGGTCCCAAAAGCGGTCTTAAATTTGAGGAAGACCCTCAGAGGAGGACGGAAAAAAATATTTTAGCAAAATGATTTTGCTAAAAGTATTTTACGGAAAAGAAAATAAAAATATATTAAAGATTTTAGATTAGATAGATTTAGACTAGGAAAAAAATCAAAAAAGAGGCCTAGAAATCAAGTAAGGGGGAGTGGAATGTTAGAAGCAGTCAACATAGCCAGATATCCTAATTAATCGGTCCTGGTCACCCAAAGCTCTGTTGACACTTGTTTTTTCACCTGGTATTCAAAATGGCCGCCAAATTTATCTAAAATGTGCATATGATTGGAACTAAATAAGCTACAGATATGATGTTGGTGTCTAAAATCATAATTTCTATACAGGCAACAAACTATACATATACAAGCTACTGTCACTCATGCCAGAATAGAACATAATTCAAAAATAAGTGTTTATTTGTTTTAAAATATCCGCAAAATATACTTAAAATGTGTATAAAATAAGAATAAGTATATAAACTCACCAAAAAGTAGTCGTGTTTGGTATCGTTGGAAAGCTCTTCCGATGCTGAATAATGTATTG